AAAAGAAAGAGTCGTCACTGTCACTCTGTGAGTTCCCCTTATGTTTCACTATACTATACACTATATCGTCATATATTATACAATTTTAGTTGTTTAGTGGTTCTGGAAGTTACACACTCCAAAGAATGAGCCACATGAGCAAGGGTTTCAGAGGGTCGACCGGCTGTCCATCCCGGAAGGGCCCACGAACTGCAACGTTTGACGAGTTGGTGAAGGAAAACCAATCAAAAGACGTTTTGGTCAATTTTAGCCAATGTACTTTTTGTGTTGCAGTTTTTTGGGTGGTTGGCCGCCTTGTGTGTAGCTTACCAGCCAGAGTTCCGACCTTGATGCTTCATTGGATGACCAAATGCAAACAACCCAGCATCATCCAGGTGCTAGGTACAGAGGAACTTGGGGCAGTTGACTAGGAACCCAATGGCAACTTCTCAGAAAGTAGGGGCTCAAACCTGCCTCACCCACACATTCTCACCTGTCCCGCCGATGTGACATCGCAACCACAGTATCGTGAGGCTGTGCTCGAGGAATACAAGATCCAGGGTCTTTGCTAGCCTTGAGCAACTCAGCTGATTGAGGCCAGGCCGCACGAGCGAACATGACCCCTCGGAGTACATTCAATGGGCAGTTTTCCCGATGGAATAGGTGTGAAAACCCTGGAGGCATGCTGAAGTTTGCAGAGTTTTGCAAAGTGATTGCATTCTGTTTGTAATGGAGAAATTTTGTTCGAACCATTCCAAGCTTTGTTGCTTTGAAATGTTCAGCAAGGACCCATCACGAAACAGGCCAAACATCTCACAATTGACCAGAACCCAGCATCACTTTGTTGTCGGACCCCGGCACAGAGAGGGAACATCTTTTGCAGTCAAGGAAATTGACCCTCCAAGCCCCGGGTATTGTGAGTGATCATATGGTTCATTTCTCCATGAATTAAGGGCAAAGAAACCGGGCAGCATTGATTTTGGGATTCAGAAAGATTTATAGAACGTTTACTAGCCTGAGAAGAATAGGAGGACCCCATCAACCTGCTTGTGTAGCAGAACACATATCTTGGTCACCTGGTGGTATTCATGAGGACCCCGTCGACATGCTTGGTCAATAGGAATCGTGAATGCACGGTGCGATGAGTTTTAAGACGGAAAGCTTCCGGGATTAAACCAATAAAATAGCAATCCTTTTTTGAGCAAGTTAATAGCAATGGCCTCCAACCTAAGAGCGATGGCCTCCAACCTAAAAGGGAGTTTCTCATTCAGTGTCTCGGCATTCAGGTGAACACTGTGGCCCTTTTGCCACCAACGTCTCACAGGACAGGAGGGGCGGATCATGTGACGCCTGTGTCGGGTTTGTTCAGAAAGATCCAGTATTCGCTACGAACGGAGCAATGCCCTTTTTCTCCGTTCGTAGGGTTTGATCGCTCCGTTCGTAGCGATGTCCTTTGGAACTTGGGAACACCTGGGGTGTCACATGCTCTCAGTGTGGGGCCTGCGACTCTGGTTTCAAAGCACAAGAAATCCCAAGAACATCAGAGTGGCAAAGGTAGGAAATGCCTATAGGGTAGTGTAGCGTACATGGTCACTTGGGCAAAATAAAAGTACGAGTATAAGGTGATGCATTGAAAGGACTGTGCAAAGCCCTCATAGCTCAACAATGCTCAACATGCAGATGTCATGTGAAAGCTGTCCTGCGACGTTCGAGTGCTGTCGCCAGGACACCAGGTTTAACTGTTTCTCTCGACGGATTTTCCAAGCCAGCTTGTCGAGGAACAAAAAGATACGCTTGTGCACGTCGTGCAGGGTTTGGTGAACCCGCGAAGATGCACTCACTCTTTTGCTTCACTCAACTGGTCAGTTCCCGTGCAACCCTGAAATCGTCACAACAAGAGTAGCATTTGTCTGCAGAATGTTTCACTTTTCCGTGACTAAAGAGGGAACTTTCTGACCTTTTGAACCTCGAGTCCAATTGGGAATGAACAATCATGGTGCAGATGTCACTTGCATTCAATATCAAGGAGAGTTTTGGACCGGTGAGTTCATTTCAGCACGCGAGCTCATGGCACCCACAATTGGACGCACTGTTGAGCCTAGCTTATGACCCTGACCCAATTTGGACATGACCAATGTCACAAAGGGCCATTTGGCACTTTTCTTTGGATGTTTCTGACTCTTCAGTTCTGGTGTCAGATCAAGAGGTTGCTGGGACCACTGCGTGGTCCATCCCATTCAACGGTGTCAGATCTTAGGTTGGAGGCCACCGCTAGTAGCTCTCTCTTTATTCCAAACTAAAAATACAAGCGATGCCCTTTCCTCGTACTAGCTTCTTGCTCCTAGTATTAAGGCCAGGAGCGCACATAGTAGCATCCGATCGCTCCGTTCGTAGCGATGCCCTTTGTTCTGGCATCAGATCTTTTTGGATGCTCCGAACTGCACTGAGGCTCCGACCCAGGTGCGACGGAGCGACCGAGCGAACGCGAGTCGCCTGCGCCAGCGAGGCATGTAGGTTTCCTTGCAAATCGGGTGACAATCGGGTGACCTCCCAATTTCCTGGTTGGCTGGTGTACGGAAAGTGAGTGAGTGGGAAAGTGCGGAAGACTGCTGTGAATCCACATGACGTGCTTTCAACAATGGAAGTATGCCACATGACGTGCACTCTTTGAGGGCATCATGTTTTGAGCTGTCGGCCGCATGTGTGGCTCGGTCGCTCGGGTTTGGATGAGTAAACTTCAAGCGACGTATACCTCTTGGGTGTATGTTTTAATAGGGAGCCTCCCTGGCCGCTGGGTAGACGGGTCTATTTCCCGAACCTTCCGGGGTTGGAACGCCTGGGAGGTCACAGGGTCTCCTTTCGTTGCGGAGTGAATCGACACACGGAAGGCCTTCACCATCCTTCCGACCGTTGCTTGGCCGTTGGCTCTAGACACCGGTCCGTTGTTTGATGATGCCTCACTTTGGCGAACATCTCCGATCGCCTCTTTGGGCTGTGGGTATCAAGAGGGGAAGCCGGCAAGACGCAGGCGAAACAGTGGTTCAAGTCTATGTCACTTATGTGACTTGTGCATCAATGGTCCCTTCTCAGAGACGTCTTTTTGTACAAGACCCCCACGTTTGATCATTTTTAGGACCACTCCCCTCGTACACATTTTGGACCACAACTTGGTGTAAGACAAGGGACCTTAAGGTCACTGCTGGATGCAGCGGTATTTTGGACGTTTGGGATATATCGAACGGCATCAGCCTCTCAGCTGTTTTGTTCGTGTCAGCATGCGTTGTAAGGTGCCAAACATGATGAAGCGATGTTAGCAATGTTTTGTAACCCCAATTAATCAGTTGATTTCTCAGACTTAAAAGGAGAGGTGACCCATACTCTCATTGTCTATCCATTTCTTATCAGATGGAAACAAGATACCTTCAACAGCAGGGTCTTTGAAAAAGAGTCTCTTGGAGATTCTCAAACCAAATGTATCCGTTAACTCACAACCCCAACCCTCTTTGAACCCCAGGGGTTTTGCCCAAGGATTTAAGGCTCTTCACGCACACCCATTTGTTGGATGTGGGTGAAGATCGAACACCCTGGTCACAGTTTTGGATGTGAACGCAAGCTGCAGCTCCACATGACCGGAACCCAGTGAGGCGATTGAGATCAGCACCTGTTGCCTGCAGTAACAGGTTGAACATGGTTGAACAATCAAAGAACATCTATAAAAGAAAGCCTTTGTTATATAAATAACTACGAAGTAAAAGAGTTTACGAAGGTAAACGGACGGCAAAGCATCCTTGTCCTGCAGTGGGCCCTTCATTTTCAGAGCCTCCAAGAGGCTTGATAGGAAGAGGGGGGTCGGACTTGCCATAACTCAAGGCCATAGAAACGTGATCAATCCAAAATCCCAGTGGACTCCCTTTTACAATGCTGAAGAAGCAACAGGGATTCGTCGTGGTCGAAGCAATAAGATCAGCGTGGTCGAAGGAGAGCCTGTTTTGCAATGCTGGAGCTCCAGGGTGATAGTCCTAGCCAGATGTCATACATTTTTTTGCAAACGAGATCCTTGTTGTACCTTGTACAGGTGCTAGATGGGATCCCTGATACGACCGGGTTGACAGTTGAGTGGCTGTTTCTTTTATCGTCAAATAAAATGTCCGAAGGACAGCAGCTCTCAGGCATTCTTGTGACCGAGTCGGACTGAGGACATGCAGATTCTTTTCATTTTCTTCCTTGCTCTCAGCGAGACCTGCTATGGCCTTCGGTCCACTGTGCAGATTGAGACCTGACACGCATGAAGAATAAGCACGAATCAGATGGCACTTCAAAAGATGTCAGACTTCCAGAACTAACGTTTTGCAGTTCCACTCCTCTCGGTATCGACTGCATTCCTTTCTACTTGCAGGGGAGAAGGCTCAGCTGAGTCCTGCACGGGTGCAGCGAATTCTAAAGCCTTACTCAGGATCCACCTTCTGCTGTGAGCTGTCACGAGGGGGATACGAAGGAGCCTTGGATTGAGGAGGATCCATGGGTTAAAGCATGAGGCTTTGGGAACGGGACATGTGCAGAGTGTCAATTTTCCGACTTGAAGTTGTCGACTATAATTAACCAAGAACAGGTCTTCTCATCAGAGAGATCTACTCAATCATTCGAAGATTCTCGACCTATAACCCCTAGTAGCGTCCTTGCGATGCCCTTTGCTCCGTTCGTAGTACGGCCAGGAGCCCCCGTTCGTAGCGTCCGATCGCTCCATGTTTGGACACTCTTTGGCCGAAAACGGTGACGGCGACTGCAGTGAAACCCCGGTGACGCCCCGAGACGAGGAAAACCTGCGACGGTGAAGAGGAAAACCTGTTTTCCCTCAGATTCGATGAGAGGACGAGAGGTTCTAACCTCAATGTGTAGACTTTGTAGACTGACTAATGTAGACGTTTTGAGCAGAATAGAAACGTCTAGACAGGTTGATGCGGAGGTTGAAAGCCAGGAGCATTGCAAAGTCATAGGGAAGGAATGATCATACTATTCGGACAGAATCTTACACTATTCCTCATGCGTGGTGGCTTAGGTATATTTAGTATTTATCTCGCTATGCCTACAACAATCTACAACATATTCATTTCTTAACATTTCTTCACCAGATTGTTCTATTTGGAAAACCTCAATTTGGAGTGCTGTAGGTCGTCTAAATTCTGCATCCCATGGCTCCTGTGATCCAGCGCAGCTCTGAGAGGTTTCTTTCATATGGACTTGTAGCATGTCCAATCACCAGTTGTTTGGGGCAGACCCGCCTGTACTGTACCGCAAAATTCATGGTATGAAAGCATAATCTTCCACATGTCTGTGGCTATAGATAGTTTTCCAGTCAGAGAGAGAGGGAGAGAGATCCTGAATCAGCTGATGGATTCGGTGGAGAAGCACAGATACCCTCTCTCCACGTTTTCTTGCCACGTGGAACCGGGTGGAACCGGGTTGAAAAACTGAGGAAGGTGGATGCCGCTCACTGTGTCGATGGCTGGTGCCCTGAGCCAAACTAGCCAAGTGACAGTGAGCTCATTGACGGATGCAAAAAACGCTGGTCATATCATGGAGGGATAGGTGATTGAGTTAGAGATAGGTTAGAGATGGTTGGAGCATCATTTTATATAATGTTGTTCAATTTTTCTTTTTTCACATGCGTTGACTTGTTAGGTGATTGAGTTGAGGTTGGAGTATCATTGATGTTACCACTGAAGAGAGTGTGTCAAGTCTTGAAGGACAAGTACACGCTGATTGAAATTGGATGCACAAAGTACCAAGGACATCACGTTGTCCTCGGTGAATGGACAGTGCGACGTTTATGTCAAGATTCTCAGATGGGAATTCGGTGAGACTCAGAAAAGAACCAAGACACATTGCCTGTGTGCGGATGTTCCCTGGTTTTTGTTATGCTGTTCTTCCTAAAGAGGAAGCTACTCACCACAGCCGTTGTAGACAGTTTTGGCATGCCTGGCCATATAGAGATGACTCGCTAGTAAAAGGCTCATTTTTTGACGTGTTTCATCGTGCTGTTTGTCCGAGGATGCTGGAGGCAAAGGGATACAAGAACAGGTTGGTGGGACGTCCATCCAGCATGGTGACTTGTTTGCATAGACCAGGACACGTGCCCAGCTTGACCCGCTCCATGTCAGCCGCTGCACTGACCCAGGTGTACACCAAACCTTTTCGAACGTTTTGGTGCAACCGTTTTTTGTGTAGATCTACTTGCTGCTTCCGGTCACGATGTGCCCATTGTATCCCATTGTACCATAATTCTTGACACACACCTCTGGTGTTTTATGCTGGCCTGGCTGATAAGACTCGCCCCTTTTGGATCTCAGAGACTTCGCTGTGGAACTGGGCCGGGTGGGACATAGGGCGGACGCTCGGAAGGCGACGACAACCGACACCGGTGCATTCATTCCACGAACTTTTCAGGACGGCAACTTTCTGCGAGTAGTGGAGGCTTTCTTTGTGTGGGACCTAGGGTATTTGGGTGAATTTGGTTTGAAGTCGTCAAATATCTATGCAAAGGACCAGAAACTATTGCTATACCTCCCAAAATTCTGATTGCCCCAAGCCTCCCAAGTACACAGCATACACCTGCATGTATTTTTCACGGCTATATTTTTTCCTATATGCCTCAGGTTTCTTTGATGAACCTGAGGCGCCAATCGTGAAGGTCTTGATGACAAACATCAAAGAGGAAGCTCAGCTTAGCTTGATGTTCGTTCGCTTAGCTCTGAACCTTTCCTGAAAGAGAAGAGCTGGAAGAAACGAGTGAAGTACTGATTGCAGCTCTCTTTGTGGAACTAAGGACGAGCTGACTTTCTTTCTCAAGGTGCATTGTGGGAGGTCACCGAAGACCAAAACTAAAGACAGATATTGAACGTGGACCTGCCTGAAGACTAACAACCTTTGTCTAATGTTTTTCCACAACAATGTGTTTGGACGCTACTAGGGGCTCCTGGCATCGCTACTAGGAGCGAGAAGCTACTAGGGGCTCCTGGCCTTACTACTAGGAGCAAGGACGCTACTAGGAACAAGTGTCATCGCTACTAGTGTGTGTCTGTTTTTCACTCGTTCGCGCTTTCACGGGCAACGCAACGGGTGATGCGACACGCTGTGTCTATTTGTACTCTGGTCCATCCGACCCTTACACATCGGAGATCTCCGAGCTGATCATGCCAAGAAGCAGGTTGCCACCCCACATCTGACATGAAAAAACATCTGACATGTACATAGGACATACACTCGGAGTCATTCACGTGGAAGGGGAATTCGCCGCCTACTTGGTATTCGGCAAATGATCGTCCAAGGGGCCATGCCATTGTATCATGTACAGTAACCCTTGACTATTTCAGGATGTGTACTCCTCTCTCTCTCTCTCTCCCTCCCTCCTGTAGCTCGCTCGCAGGTCTTGCTCCGGCAGATCGACCTCGTGCCGGAGCAGAAGAGAACGGGGAAGTACCTGAACGAGATCGAGGAGCTTCGAAACAGGGTGATGAAACTGCTGAAGCAGAAGGAGCCGGACTTTGTGTCTCAACGGCAAGTGGCTGGGGTTAGAGGAGTCGTGGTAGGTCTGTTTTAAGATGTTTAAAGTTAAACAGCAAGTGAGAAGACTGACTGACATCCATTACTTGTAAGAGACTGGATCGCACAACAATTCAGGAAAGACAGCGGCCGTTTGCGACACTGGGATTTAATCAGATTTCATTATCTAACTGGTGAAGCGCCGAGTCCAGGCAGCCAGCAGGTTCCACTCAACCCGCGGGCTTTGTGGCGAAACGTTTTTTGGGCCGCCCAGCAATTGTGTCAAGTATTGAGTAGTTGGGACATGATTGGGATGCCGACTTTCTGTCACCATCTCCATCGCCAAATCTCTCTCCTAAACACTAGAACAAAAACAGCTTGCCCCTGGAACTGGAGGCCTTGTTCGCTTCGGGAACAGAACGCCACGAGTTTGTGCCTCACAAACGCACCTTCTTTTCAGCTCTCTTTGGAAAACCACCGCATCGTCCTGGACGGATCCGTCGCGGTTTGCTCCGACCCAGGATCCACCCAGCGCCAGTTGCCAGGAGGGCGATACACAGGTGGAGGGATGTCAATCTGTTTGTCGTTGGCTGGAGCTCCGGCACACATCTGGCAGTGTTGATGGAAGGGAGGGTGTGTTGTGCCGGTTGGCCAAAGGTCGGTGCATGGTCGTGAAATGCAGTGCATCCAATTTGAACATACATTCCGGCAGCGTTGGGGTTGTTTCGTTTTTTTTTTTTTTTAAACTAGCCGGGTATAGATTTGAGTGTCTTGCAGAGAATCTGGCAAGTGAGGACCCCAAGCACTTGGATGTTTCGTGAATATGGCCTTGTAGACCTTAAGGCCGGTTGCTTTTTGAAGTTTGGTGTTGGTTTTGACCCGCGCAAGACCTTATGTTGGTGTGCTGGTTCCTTTTGGCAGGATCGCTGGCTCAGGGTCCCAATAATGTACCTGGTTCTTCAAAGTGACCTTTTGATGTCCCTGTTTGAGGTCACTTGGGCCTGTAAAAGGTCACTTAGGCACTCCAAAGAGGTCACTTTGAAGAAGCTGGTAGCCTTTCATGTCAATTCTCCGTCTTTTTCGACGTGCATATAGGGTGGTAAATCAAGGATGGGACAATTCTGCAGGATTTGTCTCCGTATTTGATACTTTGCAAGTCGTGTCGACCACTTTTCTGCGTGGAAGTCCCAGTGTGATTGATTACGGTCCTACTTGCTGGACTTTCTTCGGGCAAAACCAAAGAGGTCAGATCAAACAATTTGCGCCTCAACTCATGTTTGGCATGGCTTGTTTGTTGTGGTTTAGGTACTTGCGCTTTTTTCATGGGTCTCATTATCACACTTTTCTATAGTCTTTTTGAAACACGTGTTTTGTCACGCGTTGCAGGTTTGGTGCTATAGTCGTGCACATTCACGCAAGTCACCACTTCAATCATCAGAACTCCAGGTTTCCTATCAGCCACAAAAACAAGATAACGTGTTGAACAAAATTTGTTGTTAGTGCTCATAACAAGGACCACAGCGTGTGGGGACAGCGCCTTTCCTGCTCAGGATTTGACAAAGTCATCGACTAATGGCCAGTGTGATGACTATGTCAAGACCTTGAGATGCAAAGAGATGTCTCTGCTTGATGTGTCATCCCCTGTTGTCCCAAGAGAGTCATTTGTTGAACTTCTTGCTGCTTTTTCATTGTTTCATATTTCATGACATCTCAAGAGAGGCTTTTTCCGGTGAACACCTGGTCCACGCTTTTTTCTCAGGAGTCTCGAGGCGAAGGGCTACAAGAAATACCGGAAATGGATGCTTGGCTCTCATGGCGACACAATTGACTCCTGACCCAGCGATTGAATCGCCTGAATCCCGAACAACCATTGTGTCTTTATATTAATCTCTCTCTCTATCTCTCTATCTCTCTATCTATCTATCTCTCTATCTCTCTATCTCTCTATCTATCTATCTATCTATCTATCTATCTCTCTATATATATATATATGTGTTCTTGTCTTAAAAACAATTACACTAAAGAACCAGGTGAACGAAACTTTTTGTTATAGTCGACTGGAAGGCGAAGGGGCCTAGTGCAAGGAGTCGTTGGGGTCTCCCACAATGGTTGGATGTGGAAACGGCAACTGTGGGAGAAAACTGCGTCAGTGCGTTCCGTCACCCCAGGTGCAACGTTGCAACCAGGTGGACAGTTTGGTTCACCTTTCAGGTGAAACTGAGAGGGTCAGTTAGAGGTTGGAAGATTGTGACACCAAGAGCATTTTTAGATGTTCTTACATGACGATGCTACGTGCATGTTTTTGGGATGCAGACTATTGCAGATGTAGCAGCAGAATTAATTGTTTTGTGTGAGTGACTAAGGAAGATCTTTGGGCATCCCTCGCCAATGGATCCCGTCTTGGGGCTCTTAACCAGCAATTGCCGGAAAGAGGAGCTACTCAGACGATTTGGCAATCTTCTCCGTGGGGGGGTTCGCACTGAGCGTTTTTGAACTCATGAGGAGCTTCATGGGTGGAAGAAACTGACCATAGCTGACGCTTGAAGGAAGCAATGCTGCACCCGACTGCATCAGTCGTGCTTTCTTTTCCTCGGATTCCTTCCACACTTGAGGCGCACAGCACCCAACCAATTACCACACTTGAAGAACACAGCACCCAACCAATCACCACACTTGAAGAACACTGCACCCAACCAATCACCACACTTGAAGTGCACCCAACCAATCACCACACTTGAAGAGCACAGCACCCAACCAATCACCACACTTGAAGAACACTGCACCCAACCAATCACCACACTT